CTTTTATTTCTATTAATCTCTGTATTTCTATTTCTAACCATGCATTTTGCTCTTCGGTTAAGGAATATTGTGGAGGATCTGATTGGTTTGCAAGTACTAATAGTCCTTTTGGAAATAAGGGAATGCCGTCTTCTAACCAATTGATTATTAATTTTGATGCCTATATTTTTGTCTTCCAATAGTTTATATGTCGTTTCATATGTAGGTGCCCAGTTACCGGTATGTGATATTGCGTCTGAGTGTAGTCAATCATGTTTTCTGTTATCATTGTTATCGTTGTTATAGCTTCTATCATATCTGTTCTTGTAGGAAGTGTATCCACATAAGTGGTAGGTTCGGTATTTATAATTATCTTTGTTAGGGTCTGATGGGCATTCACTTGCGTAGTGTCCATATCCTTTACAGATGTAGCACTTGCCGGAGTTTGGATTGTTGTTCTTGCTTCGATGGTTGGCTCGAAAAAACTTCTCAGAATCCCAGTAATTGTTTCCCCAATAGGTATGGCTGTTAGCCTTTGGTTGTTCATATATCTTTTGTCGCTTTACCTTTTTTACCTCCACTAATGTTTTCGCTTTTTCGATTAATGAATCTTTTCCTTTCATCCAATCATTCTGTGTATCAGGTAGGGCAGATGCAATATCCCAGCCATACCCTTCGGCCACCCTTAATGTAAATATACGATTTAATGCTATTTCTCGTGCATTATTTATATGGTCTACTACCTCCATTGTACTACGAGATTCCATTGCTAAGTCTAATTCTTTGCCGATTTTTCGCAGGGCATCATACTCGTGCTGATCGCGTGATTTTTCAAACTTATGTTTTTGCCAAGTCTCATTTACTTCAACTTTTTGTCTTGTGTCATGTACTTGCGCTGTTACATTGTTTAGCTTATCATTCATTGTTAATACAGCACTCTCTAATCGCTTAAATTCTGTTAACATTTTGTTTTCCGTCGATTCTCGATCTTCATCACTTGGTAGGCGACGTTTTTTATTTAGTAAATTTTGCTTAGGTTCCGGCCTATCATTTTCAAGACTTAGTGATTGTTCTCTATCTAAAGAATCTCGTGGTTCTACTCCTTTTCGTGACAAACGTGCCAATTCTCTTAAGGTTCTTGCTTGCTGGTTTAAATCTATTTCTGACGTGTCTGAGAGGTGATCATGGCCCACCATGTTTTGACATTCCTCCTCATTTCTACAGGTTATTTCGGAGTCATTACTTTTGGCACGATTTTTCCCTTTTAGGTGCCTTCTCAATCTTTGAATCAGGTCTGCTTTAATACCGTTAGTAGCAATACCGAGGGCTTGGCAGACATTTTCGAGGTCTGTTTTTGAGATATTCGCATCGGTCATTTGTATTTGTAAGTAGTCTACACGAAAAGCCAGATAGGAATCGGGCAGCGAAGAAAACAAGCACTGATAATCTCATTGATTACATCATTCCATAAATACCAATATTCGTACTACAAAAGTCATATGTAGGATAATCTTCGTGATAATAACCCTTGCATGACTATCGTCATGCATCGGGTAATTTATCTAATTAAAAATCTTGGAATGTAAGTATAACTTCAATATGTGTTTTTTAAATTTTGTTTCTCTAATCGATTTTATAACTTATTGTTTTTATTAATCCATTAGATTGTGAGTAAAATTTTTCTATACTTTACTTACAGTATTTTATAAGTTGGCCGTTTCTTTAATCAATTTATAACTTATTCATTTTACCTATTGGCTAGGAGACCTTAAAGCTACCTTTATAAGAAATTCTGTACTTAGTAATGGCAAAACAAATGGCTTAAGGATTTAAACTATCAGATTATACTGTAAGTACAAGTTTTATAATATTCGTTTCTATATTAATCAGAATTATATCTCTCTAACCGATCTATGATTTATTTCATTCATTTTTTTACTATTAGGCCGTTAGTATAGGTTTCATTATAAAATTGGTTTTAGATTGATTAAAATTACATTTCCTTAATCGATTTAATAATCTATTCTGTTTATTTCATCATTATCAGCGTGTAAGTATAAATCTCAACATTTATTTTTTTTAAAAAAAAAATATCTCCAATCGATTTTATAATCTATTTGTTGTATTAATCTATTAGATCATAAGTATAAGTCTTATAACATTCTTTTTTAAAAATGGAACTTTTCTAACCGATTCACAATTCATTTATTTATTAAACTATTAGAAAGTGAGTATAGGTTTTATATAATATTCATTTTTTATATTAATCAGAATAATGACTCTAATAAATTTATTACTTATTGTTTTTATTAAACCGTCAGCTTATAAGTCTAAGTTTCAGAACATTTATTTTTTAAAAAATATCTTTCTAATCGATTTCATGATCTAATTATTTACCATTATCAGCGAGTAAGTACAAATTTTATAGCATTTCTTTATTTAAAAAAACTAATATCTCTAATTGATTTTATAACTTATTTATTTCTTAAACTATCAGAATGTAAGTATAGGTCTTAAAATGTTCGTTTCTAGATTAATCAGACTAGGTCTCTCTAATCAATTTTATAATTTACTTTATTTTATTAAACTATTAAAACGTAAGTTTAGGTTTTATAATATTCGTTTCTATATTAATCAGACCACATCTCTGATTTTGAAATCCATTTGTTTTTATTAAAATATTAGGATGTGTTATTTTTAAAAAAATGATATACCCAATCGATCTTATAACTTATTTATTTATTAAACTATTAGATTGTGAGTATAAGTTCTATAATATTCGTTCTAGATCTATTGATTTTATAACTTATTTATTTTGTTAAATTATTAGGCCGTAAGTATAAATTTTATTGCATTTTTCTTTAGAAAAATCTCTCTTTAATCGATTTATAATTTATTTATTTTATCATCGATAGCGAGTAAGTATAAATTTTATAACATATTAGATTTTTAAAGAAAATATCGATTTTATGATTTATTTCTTTATAACTATTAGATAGTGAGTTTAAGTTTAGAACATTCATTTTCGGATCAACTATATCCTTCTAATCGATTTTATGATCTATTTATTTATTAAACCGACAGTTAGTGAGTTTAAATTTTTAGAACACTACTTTAAATTGTCCAGAACTACAGAGGGTGATCACAGGTATCGGAACGATTGGATAGTGATTAATTAAGTGATGATTTTTTATATATAAAAAAA